GCTTGATTACGTCCACAATCGGGCAAGTCGATATTTTGTAATTGACAGCAATCGGCTCGAGTAATGGCGGCAACCAATTATAATTGCACTCGATGTGCGAGTCAAAGAAGACTAACACGTCACCGGTAGCTGCACGTGCGCCCGCCAAGCGTGCCGCTATCAGACCAGAACGTTCGGGTAAACGTATGATGGTGACGAGGCCGTCGAAGTGCTCCGATACATATTCCTCAAGTTGAGCTTTCAGGTACTCACGATCACTGCTGTCGTCGACGATTACAATTTCGTGCAGCAATTCAGGTGGCGTTCGGTTCACAATGCTGTGTAGAGTGCGCTGCAAAACGCTGATGTGTTCGTTGTAGAAAGGAATGACAACGCTGGTGGACGGTAGTTTGGCGAGGTACTTGATGTGTCGACAACTGTTTGCGAGAGAAATTTAATTAATACGTGCCCACATGCAAGAAAAAAGATTATACAAAATCTTCTGTCGCTTTAACAGCTCTGGCCAAGCTATTGCCTGTTCACATCTTTTGAACGAGCTGCGTTCTGTTACTATTATATGAAGATAAAGTTTTCTCTAAGAAAGTGTAAAGACAATGGCCTTAGCCTAGTTAAAGAAGTCTTAAGCCGATTGTCATTGAAAATCAAGTGAGTTCCGGGATTCCCGAAATGAACTACTTTACTGTTACCAAATCTGTTCAAATTTATTTAAAAGCGTTAAATCAAATTATTGGTCCGCCTAACAAAGCTTCAGCCGCACCTTCAGGGTAAAAACCGTCTGAAAAGGAAGTGCTAAATGATTTCTATCTCTGTACCATGCAAAGCTCCTAATAATGCCTGTTAATATTGGTTTTAAGAACCTCAGAAAGCAACGTGTAATTTCCACCCTATGCCATGAAAGTCTCCAGTTAAGTTCACCTAGTTTAGCTAGCTGCTCCAGCCTTCAGCTCAGTTTGGACTCAGCGTTCCGTACCCTGCCTTAAATCCCATCGCTAGTTATGTCCGAATCAATATATGTATCTAAAAGGACCCTTGTCATTATTGAACAGCAATGGAGATGAGACTCGCTTGTAGGAGAGAATCGAACAATGTATTTGTTCAGTAATTAGAGTATGACTAGTTTTGTACCAAGAAGATAAGATCCTTCAACTCAAGGTTGGTCTCCCTAAAACCTGTAGATGTTCAGCCAATTACAGTAAGTCTAAGGACTCGATTAGGTAAACAAAAGAATATGAAGGCGAACAAATTTGAAGCCGCGGACGTTTGTTCTAAATGTCCTCCAACAGCACTTTGCATTTATCTTTCCGCCACACACTTACCCTGGATCCCTAGCGTCCGGCACCGAACGATTCACCGATATTAAATCCGATAGCAGAGCATTGAAACCATTCTCCAACGACATGTTCTTTTCTAGCTCCTTCTGGTGCTCCTCGGTTATGTAGGCCGGCTCGCCATGTTCCCCCAACCCCTCGCGCTTCGCTTCACGTTCCACTAACTCATTATCTTCCCAATCTTTCTTCTCACCCACCGCTACTGGTACTTTAAATATCCCCTTCACAACTTTTCGCTTTTCCTCAACATTCTGTATAACTTCATTTCGAATAGCACTTTGCGATTGTGGTGGCGCGAACTCTCGCTTTTGTACGGGTGGTTTTGGTGGGCGTTGGGTGTTGATGCGCGCACGTGGCACAACTTCTGGCGTAACTGGATCACCATTAAAGTCCGTAACTTGGGTGGATGGCTCCGCGGTCCGTAACCGTCGTTCCACCAGTATTGAGGTGAAGAACGAGAGTATGAAAATTGAGATTACGAAAAAGATAAGCCTACGCACCAGGCGTTTCACTTGGCGTCGCCTCATTTTCACCATCTCAAAGAGGTAAAGAATAAAACTGAACACTTGGCGAAATCTATACACTGACCTATCTCCGTAATGGCAGACGCAACAAACGCTTTTGGACTGTTAGTATGTGTTGCGGAGCCTAGACGCTTGACTGTGAGTCTGCGACATATCGATTGATGTTCTTGCTGATAATTACAACTTGCGATACTATTTGCAATTAAACTGAGTGTGTCTGACAAGTTGACACAATGTTCCAACAATATAGATAACATTGTACATAAGTATGTATCTACATGTATACATATACATAATTTGACAGAAACCTGCGTGTGTGCCCAAAAGCTTTGTTAATAAACTGTGACTCGCATTAGACCGAAGCGTGAGGAGTTTATTTAAAATTCCAAATTAATTTATAATTATTTTATTAATTGCTTTCGATAAGAGTTTTTAGTTTCCGTCTAGGTAAGTACAGTGCGAGGCAGAGGTGCTGACATGAGGGGTATGCTGGTGAAGTTTTTATAGATTTTATAAAATCCTTCCAAAGCTGTTCATAGAAAAATTTTCAATAGAACATGGAACCTCTTACAAGCGTGTCACATTGGAACTCTTCGGACATCATTGAACCCATAATACTCTATGGTCGCCAGATGAGCGGGTAAACGGCTCGAGTTAAACGAATTATGCAATCATAGAAACGGAATAGTAGTATCCTATAGTACTGCTTATATTCTGATCATAAACAGACAATGAACTACATTAGACTTCCCAGCGCAGAATATAGAATCTCATATGTGTTTCTTAATAGACGTCGCCAAAATCTGTCGCATCCAACAAAACAGGGACCAGTGAAAATTTCGCTCGATGAACGAAAAGTACTGAGCTTTTTCAGTGTATTTATACACTAACAGGACACTCTGCTTTTGGCTGTAGGTTTAGAGCCCGCATAACGAGTTTTATAAAGGATCAAAAGTTAAAAAAAGAGGAAGTGGAAAATGCGTTTCAATTATCTGGAGGACTTTGACGCTGAAGTTATAACTGTGTAAATGGCTTTAACCCTTTGTTACCATTTGCTAAACCAGCCATCCAAAAAAATCAAAACTCAATTTTTCACAACTACTATTTGGTATAAATTAATAATAAAATAAAATTTTATTGTTTGGGCGTGGTCTACGGTATATTGGAATTGGTACGATATATTGTAGAAAGTCAGGGAAGGAGTAGTTATGTGGCATTTTTGGTTTTGCTTCTTCGGTCAAAAAAATCACATTCTCAGCTGAAATTACATTTCTATTCTTAACTACGTATGTAGTTGCAATATGATGAAAAATAATGGATATTGTGATACCTGTTCAGATTTATTCGTCACTGAAATTAAAATTTGCATGGAGCAGTTGACTTAAATTAGCAAATGCAAATTTATTGTATGTTCTATTTACACTTGTATGCTATGTATGTTTATATTTTTAATGTTTTTTCTTGTAGTTTTAATATATTTTTAATTTTTATTTTTTGTTAAAAAATATTTTACTTTTATTTTTTTATGCTGATCCTCTTTTATCAAAAAAGACCTAACCTCCATTACATTGTGACTTAAAAAAAAAATAAACATTGAAGTGGTTTCAAAAACATTACTTCAAACTTAAATAAATTTGTTTTTTATTTTTTATATTTTTATGTTGATGCTCTTCTATCAAAAAAATACCTAGTCTTCAGGGATATTATTTCAACCTGAAACACATATTAATCTGGTTGTGCGATAAAATGTTTAAAAAATTTCTATTTATTGCAATAAATAGATAACTGACCACTCCATCTTTGCGATACAAAATATGTCCGCGATGCACAGCCTGCAGAGTTGCATGTATCATGTATCTACATAGTTATGTACAACACCACAGGAGGCTATTGTAATCGTCGTCAAACATTTTTATCTATACTCGCGTATGTGTGTTTGTTCGTCCT